CTCTCTCTCTCTCTCTCTCTCTCTCTCTCTCGATTGCGCGCGCGCGCGCGAGCGCTGAGATAGACAGAGAGACAGAGGGAGCTCTCTCACAGGCTCACATAGTTGCGCGCCTATGTGCGCATCTTTTTTTTTTTTTTAATCAATCAATCGACAATCAGTCGATCAATCAATCAATTGACAATCAATCGATCAATCAGTCAATCAGTCAATCAATCAATCAATCAATCAATCAATTAATTTTTATTTTGTTTTTTGGATGATTTGAATGTTTTAAGCTAAGTAGAATTTCCGGATATCCGGCGGGCCTCAAATAATCCGGTTTATCCGGTCGGAAGAAGGCCTCCTGATATTACCGGAAATATATTATCCGGGGCCTGCGCAAAATATGCGCAAGGCTGGTAAATAGCATTTGGGGGTGTGGCGGGGTAGAGGTTGGCACCCTGAAGACCCTCCCGCTTTCCGATTCTGAAGGCGGCCTACCGATTTTGAAAAAGAAAAGGCCCGCTCTGGGCCGTTGATTGGCGATGAGCCACGGCCCAGATCGGGCCTTTTTTTGAATTCGAAATCGCGCAGCCCCGGTTTCGGACTTCGCGCAGTGTGGTGGCCTGCTGCCTGTTCCTCCCCGCCAACGGCCCGCTACCCCGTTGCCGCGCCACTCGCTGCTCGGCCCCCCCCCCCGTGCTTTGACGATGACAGCCAGCTGCCCGCCTCCGCGCTGCTTTGGTGCAGAGCCATCGCCGCTGCCCTTGCACACCATCGATGGTAGCCTCGTCCTCCTCCGTCAGGTTATGCCCGTCCTCCCCCTTAACCCCACGCCACCTCCGCCACCTCCGCCTCGTCTTCCTCCTCTTTCTCCTCTTCCTCCTCCTCCTCCTCCCCCCCCTCCTCCTCATCGTCATCGTGCTGTCATCCCTCCTTGTCGACCTCAGCCCTTCCTCCTCGTCTTCCTCCTTAGAGTCTGTCTCCTCCTCCTCTTCCCCCTCCTCATCGTCGTTGTGCTCTCCTCCCTCCTTATCCTCTTCTTCCTCCTTCTCATCCTCCTCTTCCGCCTCCTCCCCCTCGTCTTCTACTTCTTCTTCTTCCTCCTCCTCCTCATCGTCGTTATGCTCTCCTCCATCCTCGTTGGTGCCGGCCCTTTCCTCTTCGTCTTGCTTCTCTTCCTCCTCCTCCCTGCCCACCCCCTCCTCCTCATCGTCGTCATGCTCTCCTCCGTCCTCCTCGTCCTCTTCTTTCTCGTCGTCTTCTTCCTCCTCGTCTTTTTCCTCCTCGTCTTCCTCGTCTTCCTCCTCTTCCTCCTCTTCCTCCTCCTCCTTCTCCTCCTCCTCCTCCTCCTCGTCCTCCTCGACCGGGTCGTGTCGACCCCCCTCACCCGTCGCCCAGCCCCCCGACCATTTGCTTTTTTCTTTTCAAATCAATCAATCAATCAATCAATCAATCAATCAAAATCAATCAATTTAAAAAAAAAAAAAACGAAAAACTAGTATTCAATCAAATTAATCTATTCGATTGAATCTGGGGCCTCCTTGACCTTTTTAAGGAGCTCACTATAGATAGGGTCCTGCGCATAGGCCTCTCTAACCTTCTGTTGCAGGTCCTTCCCTATATCAAGATAGTGTACTATTGCCCCAAAGTAATCTGCCCTCCTACTCAGAGCATCCGTGACTATCATCCATGGCTGGTCGGGTTTGTTGGGAGCACTCCCTACTTCTCGTCCTCGTCTTCTACTTCTTCCTCCTCCTCCTCCTCCTCCTCTTCCTCCTCCTCCTCCTCCCCCTTCTCGGCCCTCCCGCTGGTTGCGACAGAGATGTGCGCATTGTTCGTCGGCGAGGAGGAGGAGGAGGAGGAGGACGAAGAAGAGGAGGAAGAGGAGAAGGAGGAGGAGGAGGAAGATTAGGAGGATGGCGAGAAGGAGGAGGAGGAGGAGGCCGAGAAGTAGGAGCACTAAGAAGAGGAGGAGGAGGAGGGGGAGGAGGAGGAGGAGGATGAAGAAGAGGAGGAGGACGATGGCGAGAAGGAGGAGCATGGCGAGGAGGAGGACAACGATGAGGAGGAGGATGGCGAGGAGGAGGACGAAAAAAACAAGGAGGAGGAGGTGAAAAGGAGGAGGAGGAGGAGGAGGAGGAGGATAGGGAGGACAACGAAGAAGAGGAGGAGGAGGACGGGGAGGAAATGGAGGAGGATGAGGCTAAAAGGGGGGTCACGAGAGGAGGGGGCCAAGTGAGGGGAGCAGGCGGCAGGAAGTCTCGCCTCGACCCTCCTCACCTGCTGCCCAGCCCCCGAACCCTTTTTTTTTTTTTAAATCAATCAATCAATATCAAGATCCAATCGCGTCAACTGATTCGATGGGGAGGAGGAGGAGG